CACTATACGCTAGAAGATAACTGATATGACGATGACGTTATCGTATTGGATTTGGATGACAAATTTGATGTCATCCTTGGAATACCGTGGCTCAGAAGGTACGAACCACGAGTAAACTGGCAACATCGAACAGTAACGATGCCTGCCGCTTGTTCATCAGATGGCCATCTGATGAACGTTTTGGAGCGTCCACAAGCGTGTGGATGTACTACGAGTGAGTGCGATGGCCTCACTTGTGGTACGGTCGTTAGTACGACTGCACGAAACCTTAGTGTAACAAACGGTTACACTTCGGAGCAAAGTTCCGGCGGCTGTGAGGAAACACAGGCTGCGCCGAAGGTCCACCACTCGAATAAGTCGGGTGGACCGGGACAAAGATGTATCCCTAGCGGGGAACATCTAGATGAGAAACGATCGATCGCTCAGGTTAAGCGAAACGATAATCCTAGATCGACTGGAGAGTCTTTCGTAGAGGATCTCGCTGTGGTTGCGCAACCCCAGCTGGAGGAAGTAAAGGGAATAAGTTCCAAGATTACAAATACGGCGGAAATTAGTTCCCCGAAACCCGCGGGGATAAGTCCCCTGGAGGCCGAAGGAATAAGTCCTTCGAGGCCTGAGGGAATAAGTCCCCAGGAAATGACAGAGACATTGAATGTCATAGTCAATAACGGATCAAGTGTAGGCGCTTGTACACTTGATCTGATTGCGCCTCCGAAGTTGACTTCGGAGATCACTCACTTGCCAACGCTCGAACATAAAAGGTTCTTGCGTGATCTGCGTAGTGGCAAAGTCAAGCAGATCTGCGTACTCGTCGCTGACGACGAGTGTGTAGCCGACATAAGGTCAGCAACAGTGTTTACTGAGAACGAGAGAGATCTCAGTAGTTCATCTATGGACGAGAGTGTCCTAGATGAAAAGACACGAATTGAGCGATATGACCCCCAATCGTGGGAATCGCTCAAGACAAATCCTCTCTATAAGGATTTGGTTGAATTCAAGGATGTCTTCCCTGAAACTGTTCCGTGCGAATTACCGAAGGATAAAGGTATTCGACACGAGGTCGATCTTAAACCAGACTCGAAGTAATGTGTCATGAAGCAGTGGCCACTGCCTCGTGAACAAGTACTTGCGATCGACAAGTTCTTTGCCGATCGTTTAGCTGCGGGCCATGTGAGGGAATCAACTTCCCCACATAGCTCTCCGACCTTCTGTGTGTGAAAAACAACAGGAGGGTGGCGGATAGTGCATGCATTTAACAAGCTGAATGCTGCAACGGTACCGGCTCAGACGCCGATACCAACGAAGGACGTCATCATTGATGGTATGGCAAAAAGTACCATCTTTTCGTCCATGAATTTGATGGATGGCTTCTATCAAATCCTTATGCGAGAACGGGATATACCCTATGCCGCAGTTAGCACGCCTAGCGGCATGCTCTGGGAATGGCTAGTAATGCCACAAGGGCTTAGTAATGCCCCTGCCACATTCAACAGATGTGTATCACATCTGTTGAGACCAGTACGCGAGTTCGCGCCGATTATTTCGATGACGTATTCATCCATAGTCGAGCTATGGATGGAAAGTCGGACGTTGAGGTTCACAGGTACCACGTCCGACAGGTTCTTACAATCATGCGAAAGCATCATTTGTATGCAAACCTCAAGAAGTGTATATTTGCAGCAAGCGAAATACCACTTCTTGGGTGCATCGTTGGTAAGAAAGGTGTACTTCCTGATCCCGAAAAGATCAAGGCGATCACCGACTGGCCTGTGCCAGTTGATGTCAAAGGTCTTCAAAAATTCCTTGGGCTAGCGGCATATTTGCATAAGTATTCACGCAATTACGCCGAGATGACTGTGCACCTCTCTCGTTTGTTGAAAAGAACGAGAGGTGGTTATGGAACGCTGAATGTCAGCGCTCCTTTGATGGTATCAAGAAGAGCTTGATACAATCCCCAGTCCTAGCAATAGCCGATCAGTACAGGCCATTTCATGTGGTCTGTGATGCCAGCGATTTCGCAATCGGCTGTGCATTAATGCAGTACGACCTAGAAGGCGTTGAACGCGTCGTCTGCTATCAGTCGCATCAGCTGCAACCAGCTGAGCGGAACTATCCAGTGCATGACAAGGAACGCCTTGCCATGAATTATGCACTCGCGAAGTTCAGAGTCTATCTATTAGGAGATAGACCCTTCATTGTTTACACTGACCATGCGTCATTACGCACGGCAGTGAACAGCCCGCACCTTTCACAACGAATGGCGCGGTGGTTGTCATTCTTTGCGGAATACAACTTTACGGTCGAGTACAAACCAGGACGACTCAATGTTGTCGCTGATGCACTCTCACGTCGTCCCGACTTTGAAACAGTCGCGAAACCCAACAGTGAGACAGTCACTGTTGCGGTTATGACGTCCTCAGTCCTATCTACACCGTTGTATGATGATGTGAGGCGGGCATACGCCCAAGATGGTGAGATTGTGAAGTTGTTGACACATCTCTCCCAACCATCTCGAGAATCGTTGAAACGATTGTCGCCTGCGTATCGATCTGCATCAGATCGGCACACTACTCGCAACGGTTTACTGTATTATACAGCCGTTTCTGGTGACACACCACGTGTTGTCATTCCAGATGATACTGATTTGCGTTTGCGGATCATGTTCGATTATCACGATGCTCTTATAGGAGGACATCGTGGCCGGGAGAAAACATATCTCACGGTAAGTCGATACTTTTACTGGCCCCGCCAGTATCAGTTTGTGCGAAAGCATGTTCGCGCATGCGAATTCTGTCAACGAGTGAAGTCAAGTCCTTCACTGCGTGCACCTTTACAGCCTCTACCGGTTCCGGCTGAGTGCTGGGAATACATCTCAATGGATTTCGTCTTCGGGTTACCCAAAGACGCACGCGGGAATACGGGTATTCTCGTATTTGTTGACAGATTCAGCAAAATGGTACACCTAGTGGCTATACCAGAGACAATCACGGCAAGTGGCTGTGCTTGTGTCTTTATTGACACCATCTTCCGACTTCATGGGTTGCCCCGTGAACTCGTATCAGACAGAGATCCACGATTCACTGCTGATTTCTGGCGTTCCGTGTTCAAATCACTCGGAACGCGCTTGAAGATGTCGACATCTGATCATCCAGAGTCAGATGGTCAGACCGAACGTGCCAATCGTGTCCTTGAAGAGATACTTCGAGGATACGTACACTCCTTTACAAGTTGGAGTGAGTTTTTGCCAATGGTAGAGTTTGCCATCAACAACTCGGTGCATGCGTCCACGACACATACACCGTTTTACGTGAATAGCTAGCGCCATCCGCGTGTACCCACCTTACTAGAGTGTAACTCTGGTTTAAGGGGGGAGGGACTCGCGCGATCAAAAACCGATTTGTTTCACGCTCATCCCGCTCTGACGAAGATGTCATTGCGTTTGATACCGATATCGATAACATCGATATCGAAGAAAATGATGCCAGTGAGAGTGCGGAAGCCCTTACTGAATAAAAGATTGATGTCGCTGCAGTGCGCTCACAGCGCACTGAAGCTAACGAGTCATCAGATGAGTTCATACTGGCTCGTGAAACGGTAGTCCGTTTTGTGCAGACTCCATCGCCGAAGCGGTGGATAAAAAAAACGAAACGCTGACAAGAATGGAAGGGCAAACACTCTTTTATTTGATAAAGGTGACTTAGTCCCTACTGTCTACGGTTAACCTACCAAAGCATGTAGTGACTAACTTGGGTAGCAGTAAGCTTCTACACAAGTACATCGGCCCATTTCGTGTATTGCACCTCCTAGGCAATGCATACACGATCGAGTTGCCACGTAAGATGCGAACGCATCCCACGTTTTACGTTGGTCGGCTTAAGCCGTACCATCAGTACGCTGCTTCTTCCGATGAAGAACGCCCTTGCGCTCAAGCATCTCGCAGAGAGCCTTGTGCTCCCGATGATGGGCATCGACAAGGGTCTGGAGAGCATTTATCTCACCCCGAGACCGATCAACAATCCCACGAGCTACCCTTAGCTCGTCACGACGAGATGTCAGAGCTCTCTCGTTCTCAAGCTGAGCAAAGGAAAACTCAGCTCGATGCTTCAAGACAGTGTCCGCCATTTGGAGACGCCTATTCCGCTCATGTTCGAGATCACCGCGTAACCTTTGCGTTACGCGATCAAAGAAGCTCTCGGGAACACACCGATCCACATGATCGTGTGGAGAGTATCTTTCCTCCTCCTCCACCTCCATTAGAGGACTTTCGCGGTGGCCAGCGCTATCTGGTTGAGCAGCTGTTGAACCACCGCGACGTGAACGGACGTCGGACAAGTTATCTCGTCCGGTGGCGCGGCTATCCCCCGTCCTGGGATTCTTGGGAGTCCCGCTCCCAACTGATGATCAACGTACTGGGTCTGGTTGAGCAGTACGACGCGGCACATCCTGAGCCGCAGAAGGACCGCCGGAGAGAGTCTTCCCGGCACGGTCGTAAAGGGATTTCAGGTAGTCAATCCCTTCGTACATCTCAATAGAGATACGTACGCGCCACCACGGGCTATTAGGGAGGTAAGCCTCCTTAGGTGCTCGTGCAGAGTTGTTCACACAACATGGGCACGAGTCTCCCCATGAGAGGCAGGGTAATCCTTTCTCCCTTGACAGACGATGCAGCTTGTAGCGTGCACCCGTCGGGGTTCTCTTCTTCAGCTTATCACGAGCTTTGATAAGTTTGTCGTTCCAAGCGTCACGACCTACATCTTCAAGGTTACGGATGTAGGCGTTCCACGCCTGAAGCAGAGAGGGACCATCACGCTTGTGATTCTCACTGTACCATCGATGTCTAAAGAAAGCATCGATGAAGAATTCACTCACAGCGCGATAGTTTTTCGCGCTGGGGTCAAGGTGATGGATCCTTGACGAATCGAACAACCGTGTTTGATAACGATCACTCGTCGTCGCCGACAAGTGATCCATGACGGATTTTAAAGGCATGCATGTCTTCTTCACGGGAGCGAGACGCAACACACTGCGGTCCGCTCTTCTTGCGACGTGCCGACAGAAGGACTGGCACCTCGTTGCGAAGTGGTGTCGATAGGAGAACCGACACCACTGTTAGAGCCCGAGTCTCGCGACCTCGAGCGCCTTCGCTTCGGCGATGGTTCATCTGATTCATCAGATGAACCAAAGATGCTACGACGCATAGCATCATCCATGCCACACTTGGCAGGCGGCTTGGATTCAATCGCCGTCGATACGGATCCGTCTTCCGTATCAGGAGAGTATGAGACTCCGAGCTCATTCTCTGTGAAGACATGAGCGTCTTCATGACCATCGCCTGCATCACCAAGTGACACAGGCTGAGTCGCTTCATCAACCGATGAGACATCAGTTGCTGTGGTTTCTGCTTCGGCGTCCGCACAGAGACGTGCGGACGCGCTCTCGGCGGCCTTGCTCGCGCATCGCATGGGCTTGTTAACCATGCGATGAGATGTTGGAAAGTGGACTCGGACCAACAAGTGCAAACCCCGTCCCAAATGATTTGGGACGAGTATCCATTCAGTCAATCAGTCACTAAAGTGACTGATGGTTAAGGGGGGGGTGATGTAACGGGGTGAATCGTTACATAACAATTTATAAGAAATTGTTAATAGAATATAACCGTAAGAGTTATATTCTCAGAATATTGTCATAAGGACAAGTATTCTGCAGCACTTACGAGTAGTTCCTAATTGGTTGATATAGGCCATTATATCAACCAACGATGACGCGCGACTACAGACGCACGCAATGAGTGGTGAGCAGATAGTTGATTTACACATTTGTATTTAGACATAGTTAGATGAAGATAAATAGTGATTTATTGCAGACATTAACTATTATAAATACAGTTCTGCTTTTTACTTTAACCAAGTACTCGCTTCTTCTTACCGTCCTCCTCTGCACGTACGAGTGTACGTGAAGTTTCGAGGCACCGCCTTATTCTGTCATCAGAATAAGAAGCTTGTACTGTCACCAGTACAAGCTTCAGGGTGCCCCGTTACACTAGGCGTCGACCTTGGCGATACTGGCTTCGCTTGGAATAACATGGTAGCACGTTGCTTTAATTTGTTTTGGCTGACCTCTCTTAATGCCTGATTCTTCCATAATATGGTGAAAGAATGATGGCTAACGTTTGTGTAAATCATGGTTAACCTCTATCTAAAATAATAGATAACACCTGAGAGATCAAAGATATCAATAATATCTATGATACCTGCTGTTGTCTGTCCACCCCCCCCTTGTCCCACTAAATGCGCACAAGAGCATAAAAGAGGGAGAGTCTATTCCGTACTTTGTATTTTGCTATTCCGTACTGTAAACACCGTCAAACGTTTATACGAACAGCTAATTAGCTTGATAGTTAAATTAATCTGTGTTATGCTGTCTATAGAAGGTCAGAGGTGCGGAGATAAAAGAGCTTCCATTGACTACAATTAGTGCTGAGCCTTAGGAACAGGTTGAACGTTTCCAGCTTGGAAAATTACTACTGTCCAAATCTATCTCTGGAGCACCAAGCGTTGCTGGCTCGTCTAGCTGAACCTAGTGTGACGGCATCTGCACCCGATAGTCTACCAAAGCTGGTGTTTTAGCACAAGCGAGCTGCTACTTCCTGGATAAAATATGATTGATCATGCAGCCATTCCAGTCAATATACTGGTGAACACCATTGTACAGCTTGACTCGGTGTTGGCTCACGCTTATCCTGGCCATCATATTTGGCTTCGTGATCGTCAACGCCGACTATACAATGTATCAAGGGCTGAACTCAGCCGTAGGTATCATTTTCATGACAACACAGTATGAGGAATACGTGAAATACCTCTCTTGCCTACCCTTCACCCTGCGGGAACGTGCCGTCTACTGCCGCGAGTGCGACGCGCAGACGAACAACATTCTCTAGCACTTCCTTGGCATCACATTCGTCGAGATCCCCTACGTCTTGGCATCAATCTCCTCTTCACCATTGTCGTCTTCCCTCTCCTCGGCAGATCTGGTCCTTCAACACGGCTGTTCTACTGAATCAACTTTTCCCTCTCCGTGCTCATACAGACGCTCCTGGGCCAGCTGCTCGTCTACTTGCTGTCCAGTGGCGAAGTGGTTGCCGTTTTGAGCGTCCTCATCAACTTCTTGTTCCTGCCCTTTGCTGGGTTCAACCCGCCGGCTGCTGCCATCCCGGACCTTTACCGATGAATCGTTGACGTCACTCCACATCGCTGTTCCCTATCTATCCTCGTCTCGTCCGTGTTCGGCAACTGTCCTGAAGATCCGGTGTATGATGAAGTTACGAAGGGGTACACCAACGTGCGGTAAGAATTCGCATGTTAACCCCTACTCTAACGGGGATCCCGTTACATGGAATTGACACCACACGGTGTCAATATGGAGATTGTCTAGCGTGACAATTCCCCACCAATATTATCCGGGATGGATACTATTGAAGGGATATTATCCTCTTTTAGGATAGTATTCATTCGCTGCTCGAAGATTGGTTGATAAACGACATATCAACCATATATTGCCACCAATCGCTGCTAGACGCGCGCAATGAGTGGTGAGCAGGTTGTCGCCATACGACAATGTAGCTTAATATAGTTGGATAAAGACTGAGGTTATATTGTTAGATTAACTGTATAGATTACAGTTCTCTTTTTACCCTTTACTTAAACTAGCACTTTATGTAGATTATCTTCCTCTGCACGTACTAGTGTACGTGAAGTTTCGTGGCACCCCAAGCAAAGGGTGCCCCGTTGCACCTGGTAGCACTTCGTAGTCCGTCCAACGACTACTTAGCGTCCGTCATGAACATGTTGGACGTAGAAAACGACAGCTTTCACATCACACGTGATGGCTACTCCCATCTGAGTGACTCAGAATGGGAGTTAGTCGGCCGCATGAGTGTGCTAATGAGCGAACCCGCCATCACCGGTATGTTGGAGTCTTTAAGCAGAGACCAGCAACATGCTGCTATCAACAAGTTCCTACAAGGGGAACTTGCTGTCGAAAGACTGAAGATAGCCTTGCTACAGCAGCAAGGCTCTTATCAGTCGATGGGCGGGCCGACGCACATGCGTCGACCCGAAAACTTGAAGACAGATGTCTCAAGGTACAAGGGAACCGATGAAGATTCCCTTTTTGAGATGGTTCGCCGAGTTAGACGATGCCATAAGGGCCCGTCACATCGAGGGTGACGAGATGCAAGTCACCTTCGCCCTGTCCAATTTGAAGGGACGAGCAAAGACTTGGACCTTAGGGCTCAAGCTTCACGACCCAAACGCGTTTGAGTTGTTGAAGATTTTGAAGTCTCGGCCCAAAGAAACGTTTGAGCCACCGAGAGCTGAGTTCAGAGCACGCTCTGCACTTCTGAGGCCCTAGCAAGGTAAGCGTGACGTGCACGCTTATGCACAACACCTGCTCTACCTTACGAGTAGCGTCACGGAAAACCCTGTTGAAGAGTACACGCTCATCAACGTGTTCATCTACGGTCTTTTAAAAGTGCCAGTGAAAACCTACATGTTTTGAGAGAACTTCCATACGCTGAAAAGGCGATAGCGCATGCGGAACAAGAGGAATTCTGCCTGAGACAGTCTCAGGCTAACTCGTCAAATTAAATTCCGACGAGACGACAGGAAACAGGGGTGCCGAACCGATAGACCTCTGTCACATTGAGAGCGAGAACTCTCGCTCTCTGAGTCACAAGCGTACGGCAAGATGCCATCGCTTTCAGAAGCTGGGACACTACGCCCACGAGTGTAGTGTCCCGAGCACTGCAACACGTCCCAAGACAGGACGTGATGACCACCGTTGGTCAAGGAAGGGTCCGAGGCGTGGGTCAGACCATGTCGCTAAGCCGCGACAGCAAGTCGGGCCTTCAAAAAATGGTAAGGGTCAGGAGGGGCGGAGCACCCTGCTGATCCAGCAACGTCAAGAGAATTTGCAGGACTCTTGACGAAGATTGCTCCCAACACGCAGTCTCTGTGTTACTGCCCCTAGTGATGAGGTGTCCCTCATCACTTTAAAGATCGAAGTAACAAGTGGAATGTCACTTCTCGCCCTTGTTGACTGTGGGGCGTCGAACAGTTTTATTCGACGTCAGTCGGTACGGGATGTAGACTCAACTATGTCGAGCGAGAGTTACCTCCAACGAAGATGACGGTGTGCCTTGCTACATGCGCATCCGTAACAGTGAACAAACATGTAGCGGGAATCCACTACACGTTAGAAGGAAAGCAGTACAATGATGGCTTCATCGTACTAGATCTGGATGACAAATTAAATGTCATCCTCGGTCTGCCATGGATTATAAGATACGAGTCATGGATCAGCTGGCAGCATCGATCCAAGAATATGCCTGCCGCTCGTTCAGCCGATGGTCATCCGATTAACGTCTTGGAGTGTCCACAAGTGTGTGGATGTACTACGAGTGAGTGCAATGGCCTCACTTGTGGTACGGTCGTTAGTATGACTGCACAAAATCACAGTGTAAAAGGCCACTACACTTTAAAACCAGCTTCCGGCACCTGGGTAGAGACACAGACTACGCCGAAGGTTCACCACTCGAAGATATCGAGTGGACTGTAGCATGGATGCAAACCAAGAAGGGTGCCTCCAAGATAGATACATATGTGTTGTTCAGGATGGACAACACGTTAAAAGAGATCGACTATCAGAGAGTCGATCGTAGAGCAAGCCCGATCGACTGAAAGAGAGTCGATCGAAGAGGACGTGACTGTGATAGCACACGTAACGGAAGAAATTCCGGCGTTCTTGAGAGCAATAACTTCCAAGAGATTTATGTTAAGGGTGTGGATCACCATCCACCTGCGAATGTGAATTTCCAGGAAATCACCGAGACAGTGAACGTCTTGGTAAATGACGGATCAAGTGAAGGCGCTTATAAACTTGATATGGTTACGCCCCCGAATTCAGCTTCGGAGGGGATCAAGTTGACAACGCTATAATCTAAAAGATTCCTGCGAGATCTGCGTAGTGCCAAGATCAAGCCGATTTGCGTACTCGTCACAGAGGACAAGTACGTCGCCGATATTCGGTCGGTGCAAGTGTTTGCTGAGAACGAACGGGTTCTCAGTCGCTCATCTATAAATGAGAGTGACCTCCATGAGAAGATCCGGATTAAGCGATACAAGTTTCAATCTTGGAAGTCTTTCAAGACAAATGTTCCGTATAAGGATTTGGTTGAATTTAGGGATGTATTCCCTGAATTCGTGCCACGCGAGCTGCCTAAGGAAAAAGGCTCTCGGCATGAGATCAAACTGAAACCCGGTTCTAAATACTGTGTCATGAAGCAGTGGCAACTGCCTTGTGAACAAGTACTTGCGATCGACAAGTTCTTTGCCGATCGCTTAGCGGCTGGTCATGTGAGGAAATCAACATCCCCACACAGCTCTCCGACCTTCTATGTGTGAAAGCCACAGGAGGGTGGCGGATAGTGCATGCATTCAATAAATTGAACGCTGCAACGGTGCCGGCTCAAACGCCAAAACCTAGAAAGGACGTCATCACTGATGGTATGGCAAAAAGTACCATCTTTACGTCCTTGGATCTGATTCATGTAATATATCAGATACTCACGCGTCTGCGAAACATCCCTTACACGGCAGTAATCACCCCCAGAGGTATGCTGTGGGAGTGGCTAGTGATGCCACATGGGCTAATTAATGCCCATAAAACGTTCAACAGATGTGTTACGAATTTGTTGTGATCGGTGCGAGATTTTGCACTGAGCTACTTTGACGATGTCTTCGTTCATATCCGGGCTATGGATGGAAAGACAGACGTGTAAGTTTATAGAATACACGTCCAGAAGGTTCTTACTCTAATGCGAGAGCATAAGTTGTTCTATAACCTCAAGAAGTGTATATTGGAAGTGAACAAAATACCACTTCTTGGCTGCGTCGTGGGTAAAACGGCGCACGCTTTGATCCGGAAAAGATCGAGGCAATTAGTGACTGGCCTGTGCCAGTCGACGTCAAGGGACTTCGAAAGAACCTTGACTTGGCGGCGTACTTGCTCAAGTACTCACGCAACTACGCCGAGATTACCGAAAATCTCTCTCGTCTGCAAAAGAAAAACGAGAGGTGGTCATGGAGCGCTTGCCAGCACTCCTTTTAAGGTATCAAGAACATCTAAATACAATCGCCTGTGTTGGCGATTGCAGACCAGGACCGACTATTCCATGTGGTCTGTGAAGCCAGCGATTTTGCAATCGACTGTGCGTTAATAGTACGACTCAGACGGCGTTGAGCGCGTCGTCTGTTATCAATCGCGTCAGCGTAATTACCTGATGCATGACAAGGAACTCCTTGCCGTAAAATATGCACTGGCTAAGTTTCGGGTTTATCTCTTAGGAGATAGGCCCTTCATCGTTTATACCGACCATGCGTCGTTACGCACGGCCGTAAACAGTCCACACGTCTTGCAACGATTGGCGGGGTGACTGTCTTTCTTCGCGGAGTACAACTTGTCCGTCGAGTATCAACCAGGACGACTTAATGTCGTCGCTTATGCTCTTTCGCTTCAGCCTGATTTCGAGCCGACTGCTCAACCTTACCAGTGGGGTGATCCCACTGTAGCAAAACTAACAGTGAGTGTTTCTTTGTCGACTCTGCTCGACGATGTGCGGAAAGCATACGCAGAAGATGAGTCTCTTTAGCGATTGATGGATTAAGTATCTTATCAATGCATTCAAGTTTTGAAAAGCTTGTCGTCTCAATACCGCTCTTCAACCTAACGGTATTCGGTTCGTGATGTACTGATGTACTACACAGCAGTCACCGGCAACACGCCTCGTTTCGTCGTTCCCGCTCATGATGATTTGCAATTGCGCATCATGTATGGGTGTCACGAAGCCCCTACAAGTGGGCATCACGGTGGAGAAAAGACTTACCCCACGGTAAGTCGTGACTTCCACTGGCCCCGCCAGTATGAGTTAGTGCGCAAATACATTCGCGCTTGCGTAGTTTGTCAACGGGTGAAGCCTATTACTTCATCCCGCGCACCCTTGCAGCCTCTTCCGATTCCAGCATCGTGTTGGCAGTCCATATCGATGGACTTCGGATTTGGATTTCCCAAAGACGTTCACAAGAATACTGGTATTCTTGTGTTTGTTGATCGGTTCAGCAAGATGGTACATCTTGTTGCTTTACCTGAGTCGATCACAGGCCAGGGCTGGGCTGGTGTCTTATTCGATTGTA